GACTAGCTGGTTCAAGCAAGCGCCTGTAGCAGGAGCAATTCTTATTAAATCTGAGACAATCCTGCCACCAGCACCTAGGGACGCTGATGATGCCCTGCAAGAGAAGGAGACCTTTGACTGCTCAGGTTAACTCAAGAGTTTTTGGAACAGCTCATTTCAGCATTGAAATGAATATACAAAAAGGTCTCCTGAAAAGGTCAAAAGCTGTTTCCCACAGCTATAAATACTCAACTATCCAACAAGCAGCAACAGGTCATGGACAGAGTTCCTACTCCAGTCCTCTCAAGATGCCGGCCACAGAGACTGGCGAAATGTCAGGAAGAACAACCTTCAGAACATGGCCAATGAACCCGAAAAACCCACAACAACCATCAGATCCCGGCTGTGAAAGCCTTCGAGAATACATACAAAAAGGTCTTGATATTTTTTCCCCTCCTGTGTAAACTGAGGATATTGAGCAGGAAGGAGATTGTGTGGCCCTCTGGGTCTTGTTGCACTATATCTCTCTTCATCCAGGATTATTGGCCACCTGAGGCTGGCTCACGGGAGCTGGAGAGACCTAGATTCTCTGCCCTTTCCATAAACAATATCACTTCTACATTCTGCATCCTGTTCTGGGACAAAGCCTTCCACATGTTGGAGATGCACCTCCTATGAGCTATAGCCTGTAGGCCCAGTGGTGAGGCACGATGGGAGATGCAGTCTAGCAGCATCCAGAGAGTTTTGCTTATCCCTAACCATATCAGGGACACAGTGGCGCTGCAGGTTAAACCACAGAAGCCTCTGGGCTGCAAGGTTGGAAGACCAGCAGCTCGAATCCATGTGACAGAGTGAGCTCCCGTCGCTTGTCCCAGCTCCTGCCAACCTAGCAGTTCAAAAGCATGTAAAAATGTGAGTAGATAAATAGGGACCACCTCGGTGGAAAGGTAATGGCATTCCGTGTCTAGTCGCGCTGGCCATGTGACCACGGAAGCTATCTACGGACAAATACTGGCTCTACGGCTTGGAGACGGGGATGAGCACAGCCCCCTAGAGTCGGACACGACTGGACTAAATGTCAAGGGGAACCTTTACCTTTTTAACCATATCTACCTTAATTTTTTTGGTTTTGCCTCTGTTGGCTGGGTTCCATGGCAGTATTGGTGACCTTTAAGACCAAGGTCTCCTTTTTGAAAACAAGCAAAAATAGATAGGGCTGCATGAAAGGGAAAGCAGGACATCATGGAATGTACCAGTGAAAGAGTCCACCCAGGATCATCTCTAATCTTTGACAAAACATAACATCCAATTTCATTATAGCCAAGTTCTTCCATCATACACATATTACTCACTAGTCAGCTGCCACAGTGCAGTACAATGTGGAAAAGGTGGACAGAAGTTCCTGATTCAAGTCAGTTTGTTCCACCATAAAACTTGCTATATGGTTGGGGGTGGGTAGGATCTCTCTCAAAAGAAAACAAAAATCCAGAGGGAAACAGCTGAGGTAAAATATATACACATGCTGGACAATCATATCAATGGATTAAATTTTCAGGCAAGACTTTTAAGTCATTAACAAATGTAATAATTATGTTGTAATCTGTTATTTTCCTTCACAACTACCAGACCCATCTTTTCATAACAAGGCTTAAAGGTAAAATCGGCCATTCTCTGCATTACCACAAGAGAGAACTGAGTCGAACGGAAGTACTATGGGCTGAATTAATTTGTACATCACAAATACAGTGGTGCCCGGCAAGACGATGTTAATTCGTTCCATTGAAATTGCTGTTTTGCAAAAACATCGTCTTGCAAAAAGCATTTCCCCATTAGAATGCATTGAAATCCATTTAATGCGTTCCAATGGGGAAAAATCGTCATCGTCCAGGGAAAATCACCCATAGGGAAGCCACTTTGCGAAGCGCCAATCAGCTGTAAAATCGCTGTCCTGCGATAAACCGAAGCGCCAATCAGCTGTAAAAATTGTCTTACGAAAAACGGTCTGCGAAGCACGGAACAAATCATCGTCCAGGAAGTGCCAATCAGCTGTAAAAATTGTCTTGCGAAAAACATTCTGCGAAGCACGGAACAAATCATCGTCCAGAGAAATCCTCCATAGGAAAAACCCAAAAAGTCATCGTCCTGCAGATTACCCGTTTTGCAGGGTAATCGTCTAGCGGGCACCACTGTATAGTAAGGCCATTGTATCAATGGGGATTTGGAGAGTCAACACCTTTGTAAGTTCTATGCCTTCAGTGGGCCTACTCTAGTTGTGACTTAGTTGTAGATTTCTGCCATTGAACTGAACATGCTAGAGAAATAAATGATTGCACATAACCCTCGTGGCATCAGTTTGCCACTAATTAGGTGGCAAACCGGTCTGGGTGTAGCAGACCTGATTTCCCTCCAGGACTTTGCATTACAGAGAGGCTTGCTGTTAGAATGAGGCGAGAGCTTGTTCCTTTTCGCATACCCACCAAAATACCAAAGTAATGTTGGTGTACCTTTGTGATACTGTCTTTATAAAAAAAATAGCTGCAGAGTCCAGAGGCTGCTGGGGGTTCTACAGAATCTCACCATCTCTTTAACGTCATCCAGGATGCCTGCCCCCTATCACCCTATTCTGTCTTTCACATCCAGCCTCCCAATGCTATCCCTTCTGCAGCTGGTTGAGCTCTCCTCCTATTGAAATAAAAACAGTAAAGAGACTTGGACGCCTTAAAGAGAAGACTGTTTTATTTGATGTAACCTTTTGTGATGTGCAGCCCACTTCATCAGATGCATCTGAAGGAAACTGCAATCTTTGAAAGGTTATGCCAAATAAAATGTGTTCATCTTTGATGTGCAGGGGGACTGTAGGTTTTGCCGCAGCAGATTTAATTTAGCCAACCAACTGGAAATCGCTGGGGGAAGACCTCCTATGCAAAAGTAATAGATCATATTCACCCCTAGCTTTCTTCTTCTTGCTTCTCCTCTCCCTTAATTATCTTTTCCTACGCTTACACAGGGATGGGGGGAGGAGAGGGGTGGCCGTCCAGATGTTGATGGACTACAACATCCATGGCTCCTCACCTTTGACATATGGGCTAAGGATGCTGGGATTTATAATCCAAGAGCAGCTGGAGGGCCACACCTAACCCACCCCTCTTCTGTAGAACGTAATGGACTTGGGGCAGAGATGTGGCTTTAAAAATATATTCCCACATTGTAGCGTGTGTCCTTTAAGCTGTTGATGCCATGTAAAGTAAACCATTGTAATAATGAATAATTTACCAGCTCTCTTGGCTGGAGAAATAGAAGCTGTAAAAGATTGCAGGGTCCTATGTCATTCTTCTACATGTCTTTATTGACAACTCCTCTTGTCCGTCTGTGCCTGCACACTGCTTATGTGCATCTGCTCAAAGGCAGCAATTCGTTCCCAAGTTTCCAGGCATTCTGCACCCAGAAACCTGTACTGTTGGGTTTGGACTGAAGGAAGTAGGTTTGTATAGTCTTTCTTTGATCCGCAGAAGTGGCTGGCTGGGTGATTAAAATAGGCTGAGGTCCTAGCACTGTATGTATCCTACAGTAATACTACCAAAATATGAACATCAAAATAGGGCCGTTGAATTCAACTACTTTTGGAACTTGGAGAAGTTACTTTTGAGGGACTGCAACATCCCCATATCCCTCACCCTTCATGTCCATGCTGTCTGGGGGAGTCTGTAGACTTTTTCCAAGGTGTTAAGAAGTTTTGGTGTCAGCTTAGGTTGAGTAGGCCTCTTCCTTACCCACATAAGTGCCCCTTTCCCCAAAAGACAAATCTGTATCTGAAGGGGCTTCCTGTTTAGATGTCAACAGTGAGGAAGAGAGAAGAAAAAAGAAGTAGAGCAAGGGTGGCAGCAGGTGGCTGGGAGGAGCTGCCTGTACTGAGGTTGGGTTTCGCATTGGAGAGGAGGACAACGAGAATTTGCACATTCATTGGTGACGTCTTGTGAAATGTTGAAGGCATTACTCTGGTCGGTGGGAACAGCACGGTGTGTCCAAGACTCAGCTGCATGGGGTGGTTGCCATGGGCATGTCCCCAATGCCCACACCACAGCTGTGCCTCGCGGAAATGGAATCATTTCTGCAGAAATGATCAGAAGTACCCGCATGTCCGTAACACAACCTTTCAGAGTTTGTAATTTCAACTTTTTCTGGCACAGTCTGTTTAGCACAAGTTTCTGAGAGCTGGTTTGGGGTAGCGGATAGAGTGACTGACTGGGAATTGGGGTTCACATCCTTTCTTAGCCATGGAAACTCAGAAAGATAGAGGAACTGGTAAAGCCACTTCTTAAGTATCTTGTGTATATTGAAAGCCCTACCAAGGTTTCCATAACCCAGCTGTGAGATGATGGCATATAACGGCTCTGCCTTCCTCTGACGTACATACGGACTTGCCTTGCACAGAATCTGACCCACTGTGGCATTTATCCTGCTATTGTCTACCTGTACACCCTCAAATCTGTGTTCATCTAGGTACATTGGGCCATATCTTCTGTCATCCTGTGCTGGGAATATTTGGAGCTGCCCAGCCTATCTGAAGTGGTACCAGCTTGGGGAAGGCTGATCTGTTGTGATGGGCAGAGATTCTCTAGGTGTGCAGGCATAGAAATGCTCTTCCCAGCTCTGAAGCTCCTTTGAAGTGAAAGTGGTGAGGAGTGATCAGAGCTTGGAAATGTTTCTCTCTCTCATTTTGGAGTACAACTCTATGAATCCTGTGGCATGGGCGATGGAACCTTCTGCCCGCAGGTCATGTGCTCAGCTGTGGCACTTCCCCATTGGGGCACAGGGGTGCAAATCACAGGCAGTCTTGTGTGGGTCTCAGGCAGATGTTCCAAGCTCTGCTTGCCCATTGATAGCAACTTCCAGCTCCTCTCAACAGCAGAGCCGGCCTTTGCATTGACAAGCTCCATGCCCGCCGAGCGTTCATTTCCAGGCCCTTCCTCCAGTTCTTCCTTGCTCCTGTGACTCCCCCCCTCCTTCTTTGTCTTATGCAGCCCCTGCCACCGAGATGGAAGAGGCACCTTCCCACCCTCTTGTGACTTTCCTAAATGTAGCTCCAAGCTACGTGCCCCACACCAAGGTGGAGTGTCACTACAACCTCCCAGCTGGCCTGAAGCCATCGGCTAGAGATTGGATTGGGATCTTTAAGGTATTGGAACTGGGGGGAAATGCTGGATGTGTGTTGGGGGGGGTCCTCTAGGAACGTTGGGCCTCTGGGTGGTGGGGGTTTGCCCAAAGCACTTGCATGCTTTGGGGGCAAGGAGAATTCATTACGTTCTACTATAATTTCTGTCACTCACAATCCTGACAGTACCCAGCAGTGCAAGTGTGTTGATTACAGCGATAGGAAACGTTGCTTTCTCTTTTTTGGACTGCAGCTCCCAGAATCTCACAGCTCACTCCCTGCAAGTAGAGAATAAACACATCAAGGCTGAGTGGAATTTTCCTCCTTGATGTACAGTGGTGCCTCGCTTAATGATGTTAATTGGTTCCAAAAAAAACCATCGCTATGGGAAAACATCACTAAGCGAAACACGTTTTCCCATAGAGATGCATTGAAAACCGTCCTTAAGTGAAAATGGCCATAGGAAACAATATTCAATGCATTTCAGTGGTTTTGCGATGTCCGTTTTTGCAATTTTAAGTGTGTCTTAAAAGGTTCAAAAACAGTTTTAAGTGCTTGGGATCGTTAGTGCACCTTCTAAAACGTGCGCAAACTTAATTTGACTTTGTCCTGACTCTTCGTTAATTTTTGGTGAATTTTTTTCTCCCCCATTGGAAAGCATTGAAGTGCCCGTTTGACAGCTGTCAAAATCTGGTTCAGTGCATTTCAATGGGGAAAAAAAATTCACCAAAAATTAACTAAGAGTCAGAACAAAGCCAAATTAAGTTAGCACATGTTTTAGAAGGTGCACTAACGATCCCAAACATTCAAAACCGTTTTTGAACCTTTTAAGACACTTTAAAAATTACGAAAATGGAACATCGCTAAGCAAAACAGGGGACCTAGGAACGTTGGGCCTCTGGGTGGTGGGGGTTTGTCCAAAGCGCTTGCATGCTTTGTGAGCAAGGAGAATTCATTACGTTCTACTATAATTTCTGTCATTCACAATCCTGACAGTACCCAGCAGTGCAAGTGTGTTGATTACAGCGATAGGAAACGTTGCTTTCTCTTTTTTGGACTGCAGCTCCCAGAATCTCACAGCTCACTCCCTGCAAGTAGAGAATAAACACATCAAGGCTGAGTGGAATTTTCCTCCTTGATGTACTACTTTTCTAACTGCAGGGTAGTTTGTGGGGGGTTTTTTGGTTAAGTGAGAGAATGATGCCTCTCTTTTTTTTCTTTTCTTTTTCTTTTTCTTTTTTGTCATTTAAAAAGGCATTGTCTTTATTGTTACCTCGTGTGATCATCCTGGGCTCTCATCATGTTCCCTTCCTAGGTGGAAGCCTCTTCAGTGCGTGATTACTTTTTGTCATTTAAAAAGGCATTGCCTCTATTGTTACCTCGTGTGATCAACCTGGGCTCTCATCTCTCCATGTTCCCTTTCTAGGTGGAAGCCTCTTCAGTGCGTGATTATCACACCTTTGTATGGTGCTTGGTGCCAGATGGTAGACCTTCTGCAAGGGCCTTCTTTCACTGTAGTGTTCAGTTCCAAGGTGGGTGTTTTATTTTACAGGGTTCATTGTGGACTAATTGGAGGGCCTTAGCTTAAATATGCTGAAACAGTGGGGAAGGTGATTCAAGATTGGGAAGGAAAACACAAAGAGGAAGAAACATGGGATCTGCTGTGGTTTTCTTCAATTTGAGCAAAATGTGTGGCCTGCCTTCAGCCCCAAAGCCCAGACTCCACCACACACAGACATACCCATACAATGTGCTATATTCGGGGGCAGAATCTGGCTTTTTCTTTATTTTTAAACAGTTCTTCTCACAGTCATTGGTTGAGTTGCTCAGATGTTGCAGAACGGACCTGGGCATTTTGGCCAGTGCAAAAGTGATAGCTTTAATTGCTTTATCATTTTAAAATGTTATAGTCTGATTTCCTTTTGTTTAAGAAAATCATAACCTCTTATTTTTAAAAAAAAGTTCAGAGAATTAACAAAAATAAAAATAATGCCAGCTGATGTTAGCAAAATTAATTTTCGATAGCATTAAAACTGATGTCAGTAGAATCAAAAGGTTTATTGACTTCAATCGGTAAAAAAAGGACGAAAGTTTAACATTGAACAAAAGCTTGGTGCAGAGGGGATGACCATACCAAGTTGTCTGAAGCCTAGCAGATTACCTGAAGCATAGCCTTTATTGATTGTGGTCTGTACGAAATGCGGTAAGATAATTCAAGAAGTACCTTTGTCCTCTTTCCAGCCAGCTACCTGCCTAAACCGGGGCCCCAGCAATATCAGTTCCGCTATGTGGATCGCCGTGGGGAGGTGCGTGGCCAAAGCTCCCCTTTCCAGTTCAGCGAGCCACGCCCCATGGATGAGCTGGTCACCCTAGAGGAGGCCAGCGATGATGGCGGAGGCACCGATATGTTGCTGGTGGTTCCCAAGGCCACTCTGCTAGAGGTAATGCACTTTTATATATGGCCCAGGAGCCTCATTCTAAGACAGACAATTCAACCACCAATGCTCTACCTCTGTGGCTTTTAAAGCAAAGATGTCTTGCATCCTTTGAACAAGATGCTGGACTAAGTGAGGAGGGAAAGAAGGGTTCAGAACAAATGGGGAACGTGTGAGCATGCAGAGGTTGTAGGTGAACAACGCCCATAATCTCTGATTCCTGACTTGTGGCAGCTGCAAAGCATCCTCCCTTGTACCTCTTTATTCTTGTTCCCTTTCTTCAACGTCAGTTATCATGCCCTGTGCCCCACTTTTTCGTTAGTTCCAGGTTCAAATCATGGTGAAACAGTTAGTTTTGAAGTGTGGGGACTCCTTCCCATAGCCACTCCCTGCCCATAAGGAAGGTCCAAACCTTCAGATAGCTGTGTTCAGCTGTACCAACAAACCCAGTTCTAGCAGGGTTCATCTCCATTGGGAGGTAACGGGATCTAAATGGCCAATTCAGCAGAGATGGCTCACAACAATATGCTGTTGTTCAGAAAGCATCTCCTGCCCCCACTGCAACTGACCTCATCCATCCTTTGCTGTAGAAAGTCCCAGGGCTTTCACTCTGTAGCATTTAGTTACAACAGAATCACAAATGTCCCTGGGCAGCCTTAGGCTGGCTACTAACTCCAGAGTCGGGCTAGCCAACTGCAACTTCCTTCCTGAGATTTGCAATCCAACAACACCGGGGCTGACAGCATCTGGGACACAGCTTCATAACATCTCTTCCTTTGGACTACAACTCCCATTGGCTACACTGGCCAAGGGATTCGAAATAGTCCAAGTGAATAATGTGCCAAAGCTCTGATCTGGGCTGAGACCGTGCTTTCCCCACATCTTCCTCAAGTCTTGTCCTTCCCAAACTGTACCCCATGAGGGACACAGTCCTCCCTCATGTGGACAGCTAAGATTTCTGACAGAAGACCAGGAGGAACCCTTTCTCCTTCATGTGCTAGTTTTTTCATGGCAGGATGGTGGTGGTGGTGGTTCAGTAAAATTTGGGGGACATCTCTGAGGTAAAAAAAAACAACATAAGAGTTGTATCATAATCATGGCAGGATGGTGGTGGTTGTTCAGCAAAATGTGGGGGACATCTCTGAGGTAAAAAAACAACATAAGAGTTGTATCATAATGCTTTTTCTTTTGAATAAACTCTGAATCTCACATCCGGGATGGCAACATCTAGACTCTGTGTGTGTGTGTGTGTGTGTGCATGCGTGCGTGCGTGCGTGCGTGCGTGCGCACAGGCGAAATGTGTAAGCCCATTTGGCGAATGCATTTGGCATGTCTTCTCCTGGCTGCTGTTTGGCATCTCATTCCTCCCACACACACACCCAGACTCAGCTGGAGGAGAGCCGTCAGGAGCAAGGAGCCCTCTTGCGGGAGTCCTGCCGCTTGAAGGATGAGGTTCAAGAGCTGCGGAGCCGCGTGGCGGAGCTGGAAGCCGTGCTGAGCTCTCTGAGGGACGACCACACCAAGCTGGCTGCACAGTACAAGGCAAGCAGGAACGCAGGAGAGCTGGGAGAAACTGAGGTCTTCTAGGCCACATCCTTTCTAAAGCAACATGGGGTGATTAGGGCCTGTTTTCTCCTGCCTTGGGTGGGACCCCCTCCAGAATCATGGATGTCTTCATTAGACATGGCTCTGATGAGGGCTTGACCTCTCAATGTGCCTCAGACTGCAAATTTCGGGAGGTGGCAGCATGATGTTAGAGGAGAGAACAGTCAGCCTGCCATCTTTCAGGGCTGTGGAGGAGGCTGTCCTGTGGGCAGCATGTTGAAGAAAGATTCAGCCACCAGTCTGTTCTGTCCTTGTACCTCAGAAACAGGAGGGGCTGCCACCCTGGACTTTGCCCCAGGCTACAAAATCTCTTTAGCCATCCCTGCCTCTGATGCCAAGGAACCTCCAGATTCTGAATGCAAAATTGAAGCAGGATCTGGTGGTCAGGATCCTCTTTCCCTGTTATAGCGATGAGTAGTCTGCCCACATGCTCTCTCACGCTCTGGATTTTCGCCAAAACAGATCTTTAGAGTGGCAAGATTTCCTGCTGCAAGCCTGTGTTGTCAGACTTATTAAGTGCAAGTAGGTTCTGTTTTCCCCGCTAAATGCTGAGGCCGGTGTTGACTCCTTTGTCTCCCCACCCACCCCAACCAGGAATTGTCAGATACCTATAAGGAGGTGTCCAAACAGAGAGACACCCTGAGCCTTCAAGAAACGGAGCACTTGGCCCGAATCCAGGAGCTGGAAGGCGATATCCAGGCCATGGGTGAGAAGATGCTGCAGAGGGAGACAGAACTCGACAGGTGAGGACAGTGGCTGGAAGGGCTCCCCCAGACTGTCGTGGACGGGAGCCCTCTTCCGTGGCTGTCTGTAACTGGCCTATCTTGTACATTAGGCATTGAGAAGGGGGTGGCCCTTTCAGTGTCATTGAACTACAACTCCCATTATCTGTCCCCATGATGATTAGGGCAAATGCAAAGGGCAGCCCAGCAACATCCGAAATGCAACACAGCTCAATACAGTAATAGCCAACACGTTTTTCCGAACGCGGATCCTCAGGGACCTCCCCCAAACCCATTTTTTTAGCCTTGAAATGGGAAAGGGCTGCCCTTTTGTTTCATTTTTCTCAGGCAGCAAGAAGGTCTTCTGCTGGCCTTGCATCCCCTCAAGGGTAAAATAGATCTGGAGTGTGGATATGACGTGTCACATGTCACGGTGTTGGCTGTAACCTATTGCTTCTGGAGGATAATGGCAGCATCACGTTGCTCCATATCAAAAGCAGGGCAATGAGTGGGAACGGTGTTCATTTTTTGTTTGTAACAACTGAACATTTTCATATTACTTTTTGATTGCTTTTTAAAGGATGCTTGGGGTCATTTATAGAGTCCTCTTAATTCAGTGAGTGACCTCATTATTTAGAAAACGAGGGAGGAGCTTTTTGTGAGATATACATTAACATATTACTTTGGGGGAGCAGAGTGTTAAGAGCATTAGAGGCTACGCATTATTGTGACATGCTGTCCCTAAACCTGCCTGCCTCCAACCCACAATGACAGACTCACCCACTACTCAGAGCTGAGTAATGGACCCTACCTGTCTGTCTTACTGGAAGAGACTGGTGGCTGCTTAGCCTGGTCCAGCCTCTGGCCAAGGATGCAAAGGATGCCTATAGCGACAGGGTGGGAGGTTTCAAACACAATCGACAGTGAGTGGTACTGTTAACCATGGGAGAGCTATACCACTTCCACACATCCCATTCACCTCCCTTTGTGCCCTTCAATGGCAATTTATTTCGTGTGGGAGGTGGAGGCAAGGATGCTGTGGGGGATGATTCCACAACATTGCAAAATCCCTCCCACTTCTATACAAGGGATTTCAATGGCAATTTATTTCGTGTGGGAAGTGGAGGCAAGGATGCTGGGGGGGGGGTGATTCCTCAAAATTGCTGAATCCCTCCCACTTCTATACAAGGGATTTTGGATTTATTTATTTTTTTGAGGAACACCCCCTTTTTTTAAAAGAAAAAGAAGTAGAGGGACGTTGCTGATCCCCATTCTTAACCTTGATTGCATCTCTCCACCTCTGAAGCATGCAACCCAGAGAAGCTAGGCTGGTTCGTACAATGTTATTGCTGTAAGATTAGATAATTCTTCTGCCCAGAAACCAGTGAAACTATTTTTGCAAAGCCAGAATTTAGAAATGGTGGTGGTGGTAGCGGTTTATTGTTGCTCTTAATTCATTAAAAAGTTTCCATGAACAACTTTAGAATTTGTAATTTTAATTATTAAAAGCGAGTGCTAAGTTGTTTTTGTTTGAGTGTTGATTAACTGTTATTGTAGCTGGTTGTGCCTTGGAATTTCTATTAGATTATTAAACACCGAAGACAGACATGTTACTGCTTTACATGGTCTCATAAAGGTGGTTACATAAGCAATGCTGCCTGTTTATTAGGCTGTCCATCACATACCTGGTCATCCCCTGGTTAGAAAGAGAGCGACTCAATTAGCTGGGTGCTCAGGTGCATGACCAGCAGCCTGGGAAAGGCCAAAACAGCTTGCCTGACTGCCCTTACGTGCATGTTTTTTGCAATAGTTTTTTTTTGCCTGAATGGTTAAACAATTTAATCAACAAATGGACATGAAAGCATTTCATAACGGTTGAGCATCAGGAGATTAATTTTCCTTGACAATTGAATTCTAATGGCTTAAAGCTGTTGTTAGACCCTACCTTTTTTTTCCAATTTGAGCTGGCTTTTTATTGAAAACCTTGAGGATTTTTTCTTTCTTTCTTTTAATTTTTAATCATTTTTATTGACATTCTTCTCATGTTATTTATCAACCATGTATCTCATGGCAACCATGACATAACAAAGCAACTTTAAAGATATAATACAATACAATCACTATTTTACCACCTTATAATTATCTAGACACCTGCTAGTATCGTAACATACTTAAATTCATTATCCTAAAATATTACAAACCAGCAATCTATGTTATTTCCTATAGGATCTTCTGCCTTACTTGATTGGTACCATATATAGATAAAGGTTGCCAGGTTTTCAGTGGGTTTTCAATCGGTCAACTTGAGTAGACTCATTGATCCAACTGGTTGAGTGAGGAATTACTGCCTAATGCAAATACCATTTATTGAATAGGCCTACTCAAGTGGGCACTAACCCTTTGGATTCAGGCCAGTGTCTTAGCAGATGCCATAATATTTCCTATCTCGGGCTAGAATTCTGTTGGCGGTTTACACCTGTGTAAGGGCAGTCACACAGGTCTTGGTGGCAAATCGGAGGCGCCTCAATGAGCTGCCGTTTGCATTCCTGCATGTGCAGCCAAGAACACGACCAGCATCTGCTTGATGAATGGCAAAGTGCTGCCAAGACGGATATGATTTCTCTTATACAACTTCCAATCAGCAGTGTGAGTCTGGACGTTGTCTTTGGAGTGGGCCTTGCGTTCTCCTTTACTGGGGGAAAACCTCCTTTGCTGGGGAAAGCGAAGCAGGTGCTCTGGTCAAAGCCAATTTCTAGTAGTAGGACTCAGTGGGATGAAAAGGAAATGGGCGTCTAGATCCCAGGCCTTTAGTTGTTTCGATTTTATACACCCACGCTTTTTCTCCCTTTCCAACCAGAGTGAAGGATACAGTCAAGTCCCTCCTCCGGGAACAAGAGCAGATTCATACTCAGCTCAGAGAAGAGAATGCTGAGAAAGAACAATACCAGGTGAGGAGAGAGAGATGAGGAAGGGGTTGCCGGAGACACTCAGAGAAGGAGGCACACGTGGGAGGGAGGGAAAGCCCCGTGGGGGAGGAAAGGGGAGCCACTGGCTGCCGACACCTCTTTTCTGTGCCTTAGGTGAAGCTGCAAGCCTCCGAGGAGGAGAGCCGCCACCTGGCCTCTGACCTGCAGGAAGCCAAGACCCTTCACGGCGAGAAAGTCTCACAGACTCTGGTGCTGCAGGAGGACATTAACAAGCTGCAGCAGAAGCTGGCCGCCGCTAATCGCCGCACCGTAAGTGCTTTGCTGCGAGTGCCCTTGGAAGAATGTAGGAAGGGCTCTCCAGGGTTTCGTGGAGTACGACTCCCAGCATCCTTCACTTTTAGCTGGGCTGGCTAGGGCATCAGCGGGGGCCACGTGTTCCTCACCACTTTGTTTTTCGTTCATCAGGACACAGATCCCACCCCCACCCACCCCCCAAAAATGGAATCTGTTTCAGCCATGCAGCTTTTGACATTATTTGTGTCAATCAATCAGTCAATCACTAAAATATTTGAGGGGTTTATTCCAAAGATGCGTTGACTTCAGGATGCTCCAAGAAAGGAAGTTTCCCATTCTCGTTTCTCTTTCCTCCTCTCCCCTTCCAGCCTTTTGCCCAAAAGCTCTCCCCTTAGCATCTGGAGAATGATTGTTGTTGAGTGCCATCAGGTCATATCCAACTTATGAGCGATCTAATAAGGTTTTTGAAGTGTAAGATGGTCAATGTGTTGTTTGCCATTTTCCCCTCCCTGAGAGTGTTTTGTGGCTGAGTGAGGATTTGAACCCAGAACCTGGCAGTTATAGGAATGTGTGCCCGGCAACCACAACATTAACTCTTGACTCTGTTAAAGAAGCCAGATTGCAGGCCTGGGTTTGGGAGAGACTGATGGCAACAAAGGTTTAGCAAACGTTGGGAGGAACCAATAGCAAACCAGTCATTATTTGCAAACAGTTCTTTTTCCCAATGGCTACGTTAAATCACATTGGTAACTCAGTGATGAGTTTCCCTTTGTAGTTCAGGTGTGACTTAAGTTATAACTGAGCTTATGAGTTGTGCCTGATGACACAGTGGAGGGAAAATATCATATGGTTCATGGGCTGTTTCACATTGCTGATTCGTATTTTGTTATGGTGCACTAAAGTGACGACAAAGCAGACAAAAGGATGGAGTGTTCTGTACCAGAGATCAATAGCTCATAGCATTCAAGTGTTTCTTTTTTAAAAAGTAACTGAAAACAGCAATCATTTGGTATATTTTGAGAGACTGGTAAAAGAAATAAGTGACTTTTTAATTGTAACCATAAGGTTACAATTATTTTTAGTTCATTGTATTATTACTTGTAGCCATAACTGCCTTTTTTGGGCCTCCGAATTTTCAGCATACCTGATTCCTTTTTTTTAGAGTAATTTTCCAAACTTGGTTGAGGTGGCTCTCCAGGCGTTGCTGGGATGCAGCCCCCATCTTCTCTTCCCACTGAGTGGGTTGGTAGGGACTGATGTGACAGAGTCCAAGAATATCTCTGGAGGGACACAGATTTCCCCATCCCTTGATTAGGTACCATAAACAGAGTCCAAGATATTCTGAGGCCCAAAAAGACAGTTATGGCTACCAGTAATAATACAATGAACTAAAAATAATTGTAATCTTATGGTTACAATTAAAAAGTCACGTATTTCTTTTACCAGTCGCTCAAAATATACCAAATGATTTCCCCATCCCTTGATTAGGTACCATATTAAACATTGTGGGTGGTGAGGGTGAAAGTCACCCTCCTCCTGAAGTTCCCATAATGCTTTGTGGGCAAGCTTCTCCCATGAGCCCATCTGACCTCTCTCTTGCTCGCCCCCCCCCCAAATTCATCCCCTCCCTCCTTCTCTTTTCCCAGGCTCAGATGGAGTCCTTGTGTGAGCAGCTGCGCTCCACCCAGGACATCCTGGCGGCCAGCCAGCAGAAGGTGGCCCTCTTAGGGGAAGAGTTGGCTAGCGTGGCCTCCATCCGGGACCGCACCATCTCCGATCTGCACAAGAGCCGTCTCGAGGCTGCCGAAACCAACATCAAACTGGCTGATATGACCCTCAAGTGGAAAGAGGGGAAAGGCCAGTGGTGGAAGGAGAAGACCACTCTGCTGCAGAGCATGGAGGTTCGTGGCACATACCCATTTTCATGTCCAGGCCCACAGCTCTCCCCCCCCCCCCAATCCAGCACGTTCACCGAGGTGTGTCCTATATTCGGCTTTTAATGGGAAGGAAGTCTAGTGCAGTGGATAGGGCAAGATGAATGCAGCATATGCTGCAGCCGTCATTGATTTTCTTTTGTGGAAAGATGGAATTAAAGCGTGAGTGGGTAGGAATTCAGATCAGTTTGGTATGCAGAAAGAGTGCATTTCCCATTTGGATGATGGATGTCAGCACTTCTTGTCTGTGCAAGAATATTTGGATTTTGATGACAAGACTGAACGCTTGAGGGTTGTTGGTTTTTTCCCCTTTAAAGCCATAGTTTTAAATTTAGAAACTCATCATTCTGTGTTTTAATGGATTGATATACTCCTGCAAGTGTACTTCCTGGGTAATATTTTGAGCCTCCGGTGACAAGAACAGATGTGAATGGACATTTCCTGTGCCAGATCACCTGTTATAAACCAGATTAAGCATAATGTACAAATAAGGTGGGACAGGAGGGAAGTTACATAATTACAAATTTTACAGGTAGAAATCTTGTTTTCGTCTGAATTCTAAATATTTGAATTCTGAATATTTGCTGGATGTTTTAAAAGTTGCGCCCTGTCCTGCGCAGACCCTCCTCCCCAACGTGAGTGTGCCCTATCCTCTTATCCACTTCCTGATTTTCAGGTTTGGATATGATGAATTACATTGGGATGTTTTTTTGGGGGGCAGGCATGGAGCGAGAGATTCATCTCCTGCCTTGCATGAACCATTCAGTCCTACCCTGTGGTGGTTGTCAGGTGGAGAAGGACAAGATCCTGAAGCTGAGCGCCGAGGTGCTGCGCCTGGAGAAGAGCCTTCAAGAAGAGCGAGCACAGCGGCAAGTCTTGCGTATGGAGTTGGCCCAAGAACGCGACTCCAGTCTGGTAAATTAGGCGGCTGGGGTTGGGGTTGGGGTGGGGCGTGGGCCGAGCATCCCATTTCCTTAGGCAGGCAAAACAATTAGTCTCTTCAGGTCCAAAGTTCCCTGCTCTCTATCCCCTACGACTCACTGAGATGGCTGGCCTGTTTATATTACCAACTGATAACTGGGACAGATGTGTATATTATTATTATTATTATTATTATTATTATTATTATTATTATTATTATTATTATTATTATTATTATTATTATTATTATTATTATTATTATTATTATTATTATTATTATTATTATTATTATTATTATTATTATTATTATTATTATTATTATTATTATTATTATTATTATTATTATTATTATTATTATTATTATTATTATTATTATTATTATTATTATTATTATTATTATTATTATTATTATTATTATTATTATTATTATTATTATTATTATTATTATTATTATTATTATTATTATTATTCAGCATATTTTCTGCCATTAGACAGCTTCCAAGACAAACATTACCCGTCTGTAATCTTATCTCAAGAAGAGCAGCAAATGTGGGAAGGAAGCTGCCCTGTGAATGAAGGATGGGGACCTCACGCTCTGTGTGCAATATTAGCGGAGACCAGGCGGTCGCTGCAATAAAATATTGCAGTGTGAGAGTTTCCCATTCAGGATTTCTAGCCACTCCGCTCCATTCTAATTCCATAACGGAGATTGGAAAGTTTCCTATTTTGGAACATAGCTGCCATACCCTTTTAGCCCTGTGGTTCCCAACCTTGCGCACACATCCAGATGTTCTTGGACTACAACTCCCTGGTAAATTAGGCGGCTGGGGTTTGGGTTGGGGTGGGGCGTGGGCCGAGCATCCCATTTCCTTAGGCAGGCAAAACAATTAGTCTCTTCAGGTCCAAAGTTCCCTGCTCTCTATCCCCTACGACTCACTGAGATGGCTGGCCTGTTTATATTACCAACTGATAACTGGGACAGATGTGTATATTATTATTATTATTATTACCTTCACCACTAGCTGTGATGGCCAGGATTTCTGGGAGTTGAAGCCCAAGAACATCTGGAGGCCAAAGGCTTTGGAACCCTTGCCCTATTTTGATATTCTTTTTTCTTTAGTGAGTTAGTGCTAGCTGACCTAGTTTATAAGGGTGGGGGTTGGGGAGAAGAAGAACTGGTGCTGTTGTGGATCCCGCCTCCAGAACCAAAAGGAGTTTGAGGATGGTCGATAGAGGCTTCTGCCATATAGGTCAATGTGGATTACAGTTTCCACCATCCCTGGTCATTTTCTAGGAGGCCAGCCCAGTTCTCCATCCCTGATACAGGGGGAAACTGGTCCCTTAGAACTGGGAGAGATTTTACCAGATGGTGAAAATGGTTTCCCTTCAGTGAACGTGAGAGTTTAATATTGGGCTTCATAGGGGATTATGTTAAATATCCCCTCCACACGTTGCTTTAATATTCTGGCTTGTGCAAATGTTTGCTTTTGCCCCATTAGGTGCAGGTCTCGGAGGGTCGTCGAGAGTTACGTGAGCTGCGGGCCGCCCTGCAGGTTGCCCAGAAAGAGAAAGAGCAGCTCCTGGCTGAAAAGCAGGTGGGCGTGATGCTTTGCTGTGGGTAGGATTCCAAAGGGACCCATAGAGATCAGGGACAAGCTTAAGAAGGTGGAAGCAACAGTAGACCTGACAGGGCTGAAAAAGCGGTGGCCTGCGAAGGCTTGTTTGGACTCCCAACTCCCATCAGCTCCTTAGCCAACCATCAGGAATGGCAGGACTCATAATTAAATGGCATCTGTGGGTTCCTGAGCCTTGATCTGTGACCAGGGTCTCAACATAGAACATGGATGGTGCCAAGGAAGTGTTGCAGGGGGGGTGTCTGACAGGAAGTAAGTAGCTGGACCTTCTGAGTACGTGAGAGGTCCCTCAGAGCCCAGAATGGCATGTTCTGCCATCTACATTTTTACTAGGAGCTGATGCTGACTTTTCCTCTCTTTCCTGCCTTCAGGAGCTGCTGGTATACATGAGGCGCCTTGAAGAGCGCCTGGAGAAGGTCGCTGATGAGAAATGGAGTGAATCTCTTCTGGGGGATGAAGAGGACGGACCACAGGAAGCCACTGGTCAGTCCCATTGACCTCGCATCACTCTCCAGTTACGCTTTTGACAATCTCTCCCCTCCCCCTCCCCCCCGAAACAGTGTCACGGAGGAAAATGTGGGAATTGTTTTCAGCACCTGAACATTTTGGGGAGCCGTGAAGCCACCTCACGAAGTCATGTCCATTTTTCCCAGGTCTTCTTCTAAATTAAATGGAGTCCTGTGGTGGTTGATGGAACTTTCTTTGTGGGTCATGACTGCTCCCCTGACTTCTTGATGCCCCCAACCCCCCCCCCCCGGATCTTTCTGTGTACAGTAATACCCATGAATGGGATTGAGGATGGGGAGCAGAGTGACCGCACAGCAAAGATCATCTCTGGCCTTTGCACTGTCGGCATAGCTTGCAGGTGTCCCATCTCCTTCACCCTAACAACTCCACAGTCACCTATGCAACATAGGTATCTGTGGCATGTTGTTTTAAGGGAAGGCATGTCTTCCGCTGAAACTGAGCTTGAAAGGCTGCAAAAGGCCTTTGTTTTTGTTTTGTTGTTGTTGTTTTGTGTGTGTGTGTGTGTGTGTGCGTGTGTGCGTGTGTGTGTGTGTGTGTTTTCTGGGTCTCCACACCAACCCTGGCTTTTTTCTTTTTTAACGTATATACAATGACAGCTGTGTTATGGAACGACCCTATGAAAGTTATAACTGTAACTAAAAGTTATAACTATATAGCATGAAACTCAGAAGTCATCCACTTCAGTTTGGGCCAAAGAGGAAGCAAAAAGAGGGGTGAGAGAGAAGAGAATCAAGTGGAGAGGAATTCGACCCACTACTGATTTAGGGGGCAAAGTCTTGGGATTGAGACATCTCTGAGAGCAAGGAGGTGAAGGCAAGGAATAGCTTTAGCTTTCTAGTTCCTTTCTCATTAGGCCCAACCCCGCTCCCCCCCCCCCGGAAAGACAGATGTGTGCCATCATTTAATTCAGGAGTGAAGAAGCTGTGGCTTTCCAAATGTTAATAAACAGTTAATCTCATTACCCTTCAGCTATGTGTCTGTGGGTGATGGGAACTAGAGTCCACAACCTTCAGAGGAGCACACCGGTTTCTTTCATTTTTAAAAAATGGGATCTGGGTGTCTAGGCATCTGGAATTTTCCTTCTGTCTTTGAAGATGTCAGGTCTGACTTTATACTGTGACAGAGTTCTGCAAGATGACTGAACGTTAGTTCCTCTTTCTCTCTGTTTTAGACACTTACACGTGTTCCCCTAGAATTGCTTGCTCTCCTGGCCCTGTTTGTGCTTTCTTCCAACCTCTCCCACAAACCTTTCTTAGGCGGCCTGGATTCGCCCTTGTCGGACTCTGAGGATGAATGCCCTGAGGACATGCGCCTGCCTGCCAAGCTGGGCTCTTACACTCTGTGTGACAACCGGGCTGCCACCACCACCCCGCCCTGTGCCCGCGGACCTGCTCGTGCTGTGGTGATCAGCCAGCCAGCGCCCATCGCTAGCCAGATCAAACAGCCGACAGAGGATTCCAGCTCTGACTCGGTGAGGCTCCTGGAGACAAAGGAACACACCACTCATATGCAGGGGACAAAACGAGGGCCTGACCAGATTCCCTAAAGCTCAGAGCCAAGTAATCAGCTTGCTGGTCAAGACCATCTGTGCCAGTGCTCGCTTGCTCGCTCTCAACAGGGGCCAGGCAGATGCCTGGGGAATGAAACAAAAGGTCTCGTTTCAGCTCTTTTAGCCGTTAGATCCACCCTCTGCATACGCTGTAATTATGCTGAAGCCATCTGAACTCCACGTGGGGGAAATAACAGCCAAGCTGCTGGAGTGGAGTTACCTAAAGAGGAACCACCTTGGAGCATGGTTGGATCTCATCTTTTTCTTTTGCTTTTAGGAGGCGGAGGATGAGAAGGCGGTGCTGATGGCGGCTGTGCAGAGTGGTGGGGAAGAAACCAACCTGCTGCTTCCAGAGCTGGGCAGTGGCTTCTACGAAGTGGCCAGGTGACGAGAGCTGGGATGACCCAGATTTGCTTTCTAGCACCCTTTCCTCCTTGCAGGTGGAAAGATTCTGTGGCAGGGATTGAGCATCTGTGCTCTCCTTCCTTGGCTGCTGTTGAACTACAGTTCCCATCATGCCTCACCACTGGATCGGTTGGCCGGGGCTGATGAGAATTAGAGTCCAACAGGGTTTTCTCACCTTTCCCCATGGGTTGTTCATTAGTTGCCCCCCTTAGATGTGTGTGTTGTGTGCAGAGGTATGTAGAAACAAGAAAGTGGAATTTGATTTTCCTGAAAACCTTTTAATTGTGTTCAAGGGGAGGAGAAGCTAGCATCTAGTCCTTCCAGTGATTTGGAAGATAGCTTTTGAAAGTCTTTTTAGGCAACAATGTTGAGTGAAAACCAAAGGGGTGGCTAAACAAAATCTCCAGCAGTTGGTAGCAAAGCTTACACCCCATACGGAACTTTCCGTCCTTGTGAATAGCCGGATAAGAATAAATCATGCCTAGGATCCCATATGCAAAAAACGAGGTGCCTGTATATTTTGCATCATATATATGAGGCTGCAGCTTTTGCATGTTCCTAAGCACAGAATTTGGATTTCCTAAGAGCAGGATTGTAAATGTTTTCCTTAATTTTAGTCATTGTATTTATGAATAGTATACACACAAATCATGCGTACAATGTACCTCAAATATCTATCTCCAGTAGCATGGGATTCCTGCTTCCAAGGGAGAAGTACCTCTTCACTCCATCCAGTCTCTCTCCTTGATTTCCATTGTGTCTCTGATGCCTCCTTCTCCCTTGAGCCTTCCCCTTCTTGGAGCCCTTCTCCTCCCTTGGGCTCCTGTTGCTTCCATGTGCCCCTCTTCCCCCTTGCTTTCCTGGGCCCATGCTTCCCCTTCCCCACCACCACCCTGGCCCTTGCTTTGCCCCATCTCCCTAGGATCTGAGCTCAGCCAGCCCTTGTTCTGAGGGCTCTGTAGATTAGCAAGGTCTTCTTCAGAAGAAGATGACCTTTGGTTGCTTGAACCATGTATAACGCAAGAGAGGAAAGCACATCCCCTGCGATCCAATCCCCATTTCACTGATCCCTGCCTTGTCCCACACTTGACTTAGTGGTCCACAGATCTTTGCATCACATCTCCCGAAGCCTTGTGCCTTGCCTGTCTTAGGTACAGTCCTTCAGACCCCCATTTTGCTTTGGCACAGCAAAGCCAAGGTATCAGGCAAAACTTCTTAACTGTTAAAGCAGTACAACAATGGAACCAATTACCTCGAAGGTGGGGGGGTGAGCGCTCCAAGGCTGGAGGCATTCAAGAGGAGGCTGGGCAACCCTCTTGTCAGATTTGCTTTGATGTGGATTCCTGCCTTGAGCAGGGGGTTGGACTGGATGGCCTTCTAGACCCCGTCCAGCTCCATGGTTCTGTGGTTCTCAAAGCCCATGCTGCAGTGATTGCCACCACCCCTGCCTCTGTTCAGAGAAGCTAGGGTTTGAATTGCATTTCCCATTCAGGGCTAGGGCCTGTGGGTCAGCCCCACTGACTCTTGATTGCTCTCCCTTCTTCTCTCCCTTCCCTGTGACAGTGGGCTGACAGAACGCCAGATGTCGGAACCTGGGACCTGCGGGATGGGCGCCTCCCCCTTGGACCTGCCCTCGCCCGCATTTTGGAAGGAATGCCCCATCTGCCACGAGCGCTTCCCTGCTGAAATCGACAAGGAAACAATAGATGCCCATGTCGATGGGCACCCATTTTTCAGCACCCACGACCCCTTCATTTTTGAGTGATCCTTTTCTTCCCTCCCCACCCACTGTGCGCCCCCTCGGTCAGTCTTCCCTTTCCCCCTTGAGTGGGATCCAGGCTGTGAGTATCTCCCCTCCCTTTCCTGCCCATGGAGAGCTTGTTAAGATGAATGCAGTGCCGTAGTGGAGCAGCTTTGCTTGCTAGGTGGGGAAAAGGGGGTGCCATTTTCCTAGCCCCCCCCAGCTGCCCCCAAAGCAGAGCAGTCAGAGTCAACTTGCATTAGGAAAGAAAGACAAGAATTGGCACAGATGCAGACACTCACCCACACACATAAGGATCTGTAGGTATATAGTCATATATATGAGCACACATTAAGGGGCGAATAGCCTGTTGCCCACTGGATGTTGGACTACAACTCCCATTATCCTTCATCAAAAGCTGTCCCCAGTGAGGCTAATAGGAATAGAGTCCATCAACATCTGGAGGGTGACCGTTCCCTCACCGCTGCGCTAAACCAAAGCCAACTATTGACAGATGAAAAAACAACATTAAATGAAAGATGTCGTACCTCCTGCAGGTGAAAAAACCTGTTTATATATGATTGGTTATCTAGAGGTATCAAAGAGAGTTTTGGGAGAAGGTAGGATACTGTCTTTGAGTCATTTTAACTTTGTTTCTCTGTCCTGTTCTTGGTTATCCCAGCATAAGCCATCACGTGAATGTAGGAAGTAGTGAATCTAGCTGTTCTCCTTTGGTGGAGAATTAGTCCAGCAAGGGTGTGTCAGTGAAGTACCTTGTTCTAGGAGACTCCCTTGTTCCACCAGTTCTTGGGAACTTCTGGAAACCTCAGTGGTTTCAGGTTCTGGCTGTGGAACTAGAGGTCGAGAGTTCAATTCCCAAGTGGTGCCTTCTTGACAGAGGCTTGGCTTGATGATCCATAGGGTCCCTCCCTGCTCTGCAGTTCTAAGAGTATTATTAATGTTGTGTCTTGGTTTTGGGCATGGTTGGGTGTGTCACAAAATAATGAGCACATTGATATATTCACAGGATAATAATCTAAACTCATAGGCCCTCACGTTTCTGGGCAACACACATGGGTCAGTCCCGTCCATTAAAAAAGGACGATTGTCCTGACATCACATACAGGGTTTTCTTCACTCTTGAGATCTGGTGGGCTACAGGATCTATGGACCCACATCCTAGAATAAATGAAACAAATTCTCCATAAATCATAAGCAGTAAAGATATCTGCTTCTAAAATAATCATAGAAAAGTTTACAGGTGTCAGACGAAAGAGCCAGATGAGATTGGGAATCCAGTCTTGTAACAAATTAACTAATGGTTTATCACAGAATGCCATCATAAGGACTAGAAACATAGGTGACATTGGGGATTTAATTTATTCTAAAAGGAAACCATAGGTGAATTTAGAGGTGGAAACTATACAAGTGTGGAATACAAAGGCATGGGTTTAGAGAGTCTTCCCTAGTCGTCTGCTTTTGCTAGGTGGTTGTGTGGATTTTCACACACCCTCGCCCCAAATTTCCACCTTAAGAACAGAGTAAGCAAATGATGTATATTGGCATACCACTGCCATAAATTCTGAACAAATGAAAGTAAAGTGTATTGATTTCAGGAGAGAAGCCAAACTGGACTATTGTGAGAAAGGGAGAGATTGTCCTCTGTAGCATGATGACAGATCTAGGAGCTGATCTAAAGAAAAACAGTATCAAACCGATGAATGATGTGTGGCTTTTCAAGTCCCATCAACCCTAGCAAACATAACCTGTGAATGGAGGTTGATTGGAATTGGAGTCCAACAACATCTAGAGGGTCACAAGCTTCCCACTCTGTATTACAGCGTCCTTTGGAAAGGAGAAGAAGGGTGTGAAAATGGAAAGTAGTTCTGCATTAGAGATGGTTACAGTTCAGCAGTTTGTGCCATTTCGTGTTTTGGAGAAACAGGTGTTCGGCGCTTCCTAGCCCCACCTCCTTCAGAGGCAGCACCCAAAGGAGGCGGGGCAGGGAAGCGAGCGTGCTGCCTCTGAGTGGGCACCTGCTGGACGAGGAGGGGCTGGGAAGCACCAAACACCTATTCGTCCAAAGAACAAACTGGCACGAACCACCAAGTGGTGATTCGTGCCCATCTCCATTTTGCATTGTTGTCATTCAAACAAGTCTGTCCTTCTGAAGGTTACATCATCCTGGCCGTGGAACAGCTTTGGTGCTGATGTGCACAGAAGAGTCTGCCGTGGTTATTTGCATGTTACGGTCCCGGTTCCAATGTGAATGAAGCCCAGTTCAGTCAATGGATATACCTGAGATGTTCCACAGCAAGAGCAGGCAGGGAAAGATGATCAGGGTTACATACATGTGTTTATCAGTCTTAAGAGGTCTGATACTGAAAGGGCACGTGGACTCTCCTTTTTATCGTGTGCTTGTCAGATGCTCCACCATTACGGTCCTCAGGGTCAAATGTGGTATTGGTGCATTTCTGGTTATTCTGGTTAAACGGTTAGGCTGACACTGTCCTTTCTCGGGCAAAGCAGGAGCCTAATGGCTACCAATGCAAACCTCAGGCTGTATTTTCTACAAGTTGCGGTGATACAACTGGACATTGCATCCTGTTGTAACAGATTTAGAAGCCCACACCTGTGGTGGGTTGTTGTTTTTTCATTTATTTGTTTGTTTGTTTTTACCCTCTCCAGCCTGGTTCCCACCATTGGGAAGTTTTCTGACAGCTAATCTACTCAGGCGGGCCATCATCTCACATGAATCACACCACTTCAAGCTGCAGATTGGGAGATCCCATGTTTGAATGCTGCTCTGGGAATAAAAAGCCACACAAAAGTGAGCAAGGCCAGAAGTAGAGTTCTCAGATAGCCTTCCCTCTCTTGTGCCAATATCTGTGTGAAGGGAGCTTGGAGGGGCATTGGAAATTATGATACTCTCCACACTGTCAGTTTGAAGTGGTTCGCTCTTCTGTGGTATGATTTGGCTGCATAGATGGCTGTGCTTGACGAGGCAAGAGACCTCTTTTGGTCATTCCTGATCTGGGTCAGCGTGCAAGGCGGGGATGGGATGTTGATGGGGAGGCAGAGTAACCCCCTCTCCTTCCCTTGCCATTTTTTTTTTACTGTGCGAAGGGTGGTTTTTCTGAAGTGAGGAGAGCTGCCTGTCTCCATGGTGCAGTATCTGTGATTTAGAACATGGCTATTCCAGCATCTTGAATACCTGCATGGTATTCAATTGAGGAGGCTCTCCTCTTCAGAAAGTCATGCTCCACCTGTAGGCCAGAATCCTGCTGCAAGCATTATGAGGCAGGTCGCCTGCTCTGTTGCTCCGATGGTTTTGTGATCCTCTAGGTCAGTGGTTCCCAACCTTGGGTAACCCAGGTGTTCTTGGACTATAACTCCCAGAAACCCCAGCCAGCACAGCTAGTGGTGAAGACTTCTGGGAGAGTCCAAGAACATCTGGGTTACCCAAGGTTGGGAACCACTTGCTCTAGCTGGACGATGGACAAGTTGCCAGTGACATGACCAACATCCAGCAAATTGAGACAAGCATGCCATTGCACACACTGTCGCTCAAATCCTGCTGTGTAAAGTTACCCCAGCATAAGCCAGATCCCAGGTTGAAAAGAATGAACTTGAACTAATTGAAAGCTTCCTATCTTCCTCCCTTTAGGTGTTAAGGCTCCCCGGGGAAAGCCTTTGGGAGCCTCAGGATGTGGGTGAGCGGAGCCTTTGATATCCAAAAAATCTCTACTAGATCGCCATCAGTGATACTGATTCCCTAGGGAGCTTCAGAAAAGGGAGAATGGAAAGCTTGAGTTGGTTGAAATGAATTATTTCTGATTCCAGATCCAGTTTATGCCAGCATATGTTACACAGGAGAATTTTGGCCACTATGGCTAAAATCTTGTTGGGCAGTTTCACTCACATAATGTGAAGCTGCGTCTGTCTGCTGCAGATGGTTGGAAATGCGCTTCTTCATGCGTCCATACAACAGGCAAAACAGGAGCCACACAAGCAAACAGCACAACAGTCTTGACTGTGCAACACTGGTTGCCCGCCTCATACCCAGTGCCCTCCTGCTGGTGTAGCTTTGCATTCCATCAGAACAGGCAGGATTTCAGGCAGGATTTTGCATCAGGATTCAGGCCACAACGCAGAGCAGAAAATACCCAAGGTAGGGCTAACATGCTCTCCCTCTACACCTGTTAAGGGTAGTTCCCAGATCAGGAATGGCTAAACAGGATTATACATTGCGTAGTGACTGGCAATAGCAGGCTGTCCACATGCAAAGGATTTACTGTATTCAGGATTTACTGTATTCAGTATTCAGAGGGGGGGAAACAGGAGGGTAATCCTGTGATCAGCTGTATTTCCTGAAGTAGACTTGGGTTTCTTTTGTTGTTCTTGATCTTTTTTTAAAAAAAACCCTTTCTCGAGGCTCTCCTGCATCTGTTGCCACCTCCTCCACTGGCTACCTGCTGCGGCATGCATGCATGCATGCATCTTTCTCCCTTCCACACCAGTATTCAGAGGGGGGAAAACAGGAGGGTAATCCTGTGATCAGCTGTATTTCCTGAAGTAGACTTGGGTTTCTTTTGTTGTTCTTGATCTTTTTTTAAAAAAAACCCTTTCTCGAGGCTCTCCTGCATCTGTTGCCACCTCCTCCACTGGCTACCTGCTGCGGCATGCATGCATGCATGCATCTTTCTCCCTTCCACCGCATTGCACCTCACGCAGGTCCCCGTTGTGTTTGGTTTTATTATCTTGTCTGCACCTTGTTCCCTGCCCCTATGCTGTACATATCCCCAGCATTCCCACCTTTCTAGCCTGAGCCTGATGCTTGCGTTCTAATAATTATTTGGCTTGCAAAAGTCTCTTTTTTCATTCTGCCTCTTGGCATCTCTGCCAAACCCCTAAGAGAAGGCTGCAGAACCTAAAATGTGCAGCTGAAACAGGAAAGAGGGAGAGATAAAGATTGCTCCCTAGCGATTGTGCCTTTTTGGAGAGGCTCCGACGCTGCTGCTTCCTTGCAGGGGAAACCTTTTCATCATGCTCTGCGTCAAGTGGCAGTGAGATCTCCTCCTCTGTTTCTTCTCCCTGCTCCTTCCCTCTCCCACATTTTTAACCACACCCAAGGCAGAAGCTCAAAGCAATAAGCCCCAACCCTTTAAGCTCCATTTTGACCTGTCCCCAAGTCTATGTATAGGATGTGTATATAAACATATTTATATTTATATTTATATGACATGTTGCCGCTATTCTAATAAAATGCAGTGTTTCTGCAGCAGTCTGGCTGTGCATTTTTGAATGTTATGGTTACCAGATTTATATGTAGTGGGTGATGGCACAAACATCCCACTCTGTGCGGTGTCCCATTCGCCGAGTGTCCCAGCTGCCTGGCCTGGTTGCGGCGTAACAGAAAGGGCCATCCACGGTTATGAGTGCCAGCGGGCTGCAAGGTTGCCAGAGTCAGTAAAGGGGTATGGTGTGGTGGGGTTCTAAGCCCGGGGCCCGTGCGATACCGGGCAGGAAAGACGTGGAGGAAGGGTTTCCAAAGGGCTGGAGACAAAAGATGATTTGCAAAACCATCTCTGATGGGCCTGGGCAACCGCAAGGGTGCATCGTCTGCGCCAGAGCCAGTCTCCATCCCAAGAGGTACCTGCTGCCTGGAGCCAAGCGCTGCCCGATGGCGACCTCTCCCACCAAGAGCACCATGTCATGAGCAGAGACTGGTTGGGTGGAGAGTTTCAGCTCTAAGCATGGAATGAGTTGCTTTTCAAGAACATTAACTGCAGTTTAATTCCTCCTTCCAACAGCAACATTATATGGCGACGGTAACTGGAAGAGGAACCACTTCACTACTTTTGTGTTCTAACTGTAACTTTTTTTTTTGAAAAGTTCATTTACACCTAGGGCAGGTGTAGCCTCACTAAATGAGGGAGGAGGAATATCTGATGGTTCAAGTGCTGTTTGATGTTGAGGCAGTGACACGTTTGGCAGGAAGAAAGTGGGTTTTGTATCACAGGCCAGCGGCTTGTAACATGCAGATTTCAAAAATAATCTTTTTTAAAAAAAACAAAAAATTAAACCAATTCTTAAAAATTGGAAAATAGTAACAACTCTCAGTTACATTCACGAAGTAGGAGAGTGAACAATTATTTTATATCTATAACAGTAACTACCTCTTGGGCCATGAACTGTGGCAAATGTGGTAACTATTTTTTTAATGACATATTTGGCCATATTTCCCATTCCTTTCTTCAACTCTGGGACAATGTGGTAGCAATGAGTTCCACAGCCTTGAGTGCTAGTATGGGCAGGAAACTCACCCAGATTTCCTGCCCTGGCTGTGGGCTTTTCAAAGAGGGCTGCAGATACACGCCACTGCTTCAAGCACTAGGCCTCAGTTCCCTGCAAACCACCCCATCCAGCCAAAAGCCAAGAGGGAAAAAAACAGCTTGTGCTTCAGAAGGAGGGGACTCCTCTCTCTGTACCAGCACTAGAGCAGATAACGACAAAATCAATTTTTATCACCCTTGG